ACAGCTTGGCAGTTTCTTAAAAAGACAAATATTAAACAACACAGCAAGTCCAAAACTAGGTACCTACCCAGGAGAGATCAAAACACATGTTCACACAAAGACTGTTACATGAATGTTCATAACAGCATTATACATAATAGCCCAAAACTAGAAACAATCTTAATGTTGACCAACTGATGAATGGTAATGAAAATTGTAATATACCCGTACAATGAAATACAATTCAGCAATAAAAAGGAATGAACTACTACTACATGCTACTGCATTGGTGAACGTCATATCAAAAACACTCTAAGAAAGTGAGATGCAAAAGATTACAGGTTATATGATTCCATTTATATGAAACATCCAGAAAGTAGAAATCTGTAGATTTGCAGAATAGCAGTTACCTGCGGACAAGTGTGAGAGTGAGAACTGACTGCAAACAGACACAGGGAAACCTGAGATGAGGGAAATTTTCTAAAACTAGACCATGGTGATAGCTCCACAACTCTATAAATTAACTTAATATCACTAAATTACAAATCAGCGGAAGTGTGCATTCACTTACAATGGGTGACTTTTACGGCATGTAAAAATTATACCTCAATGAAACTGTAAAAAAAAAAAAAAAATACCCCAACATGGGATCAGGTGGGAATATACAGATACAACAAGTTTGACAATATACTGATAATTATTGAAGGTGGACAATAGATAATGGAATTTCATTATACCATTTCTTCAACTTTTATGTATGTTTGAAATTTTTCACAATAAAAAGTTTTAATAAGGTAACAAGAGATTAAATTAAAACTGTTTTATAAGGGCCACACTCTACTAAGTATTTGCTATAACTCAATTGTTACACCTACATTTAATTTTCAAGCCTTTACATTAACTGTGGCAGTATTCAACAGAAAATTGGCCAAGAAGATGCAAATGACTGATGTGTTAGCTAGATCTGTATTTATATGTTATGTCCAACAACTTTAATAGGCCTAATACAACTCAAAAATCATGGTGTCAAGAAGTCATGTAGCTAAAAGAAACTCAGAGAGGTCACCAGATGATCTCTGCTTCTGAAAGGGTCTCACACAATAAAGCTATCTTTTCCTTTTCAAATATTTACAGATGTACACAGGTGAGTTATTCAAAATCCCTTTGGTATCTCAGGTCAACATAATCTGTTTTAATGAAATCTTCCTTCAATATGTTGATGGCCAAGTCAAACAATGACTATTAGGAAGCCAGAAATAAGTTATGCATTCATTATATGTTTAGCTTTTAATAAAAAGAGGCTAAGGAAGAAAAATTACTGAGAAATTAAATGCATTTATTATTAGAGTTTTTAGGACTTTGTTTTTATGATATTATGATACCCAACTGGCTCATGGGAAGGATGTACCTAAACCAGTAGTTGGTAACTGGAGAAAGGGACTTATCTGGAGGGTTTGCCATGGAATAGTTGGCAGTAAGATAGCACCATCTGTTGGAAAGAAGAAATGTCAATCACCAATAAAACATTTTTGATATATGAAAAAAACATTTAAGTCTTTCCAAAGTGCTGGATAAAGAATCTTGTTAGAATTAGAAGCTGCAAGTTTAGTGGAACAAGTACCAAATTGTGTTTATTCATTGTATCTCCACAGTCTTTTTTTATATAGCTTGGACTGTTATACACACACACACGAGAAATTTATATTATTTCATAGATATATGTTAAATACAAAATACAAAAATATGCATTAGTGTTTGCAGCCCTGTAGATATCTTTGAAATGTCACCACCTTTACTTCCTTCCACTACTTTAAACTCTGGAGCAACTACACATAGCCACACAGAATCTGTTATTACGACTTTCCGGAAGTTTCTGATCTTGGTAATTATTATACTCCTAGGGACCACTGCCAGGTTTGAAAGAACTGTCTATAAATTTTGTGCAGTATATTAAAATCCCCTATCCAAAACAAATAAAACATTAATAAATAGACATTCCCATTGTAATACCAGTTCTTGGGAAAGATATTATATGTATTTTGTGTTCTGAATAAAATTCCTGGCCTATGACAATGCATAAACATCAAAGTATCAGAATATCTGGTACTCCTACTTGAGTTCAATAGGTATAAGGTATTCTTCCTCAGCCTCTCAAGTTTCCTAAAAACTCAATGCATCTAAAATCATTTTCTGTGCTAACACAGATAAAACATGGGTTTTTATGGGCACAGAAAGTTTTCTAGTCCTTTCCTGGAAGACACCATCTACCATTCAAAACAAGGTATTTTAAAAAATATGTCTAGCACATAGCGTTTCTAAAACTAGTAATTCCTGTCCTTTGAATTTATGAGTACTAAATTTATGATTAGTTATGAGAAAAAAATCTTGTAGGAGAGTCAAAATTCATACACTACAAAAAAGTTCAGGCAGCTTTCACATTAAAGGAACATACCATATGAAATCTTCCTGAAATGCTATCCAGAGCTTCTGGATCCAGCTTGCCAACCTTGTCTAATTGCTTGCAGTTGTGAACTTTCAGATGCATTGTAGTTTCCTCTGTTCAATTATCCACTTAATTCAGCTTAGGAAGTACTCATTTGAAAGAGTTACTGGAAGACTTGTCAGGGGTGTAACTTCCCATGATCTAAAAATGGAAATCTCGGGTAGGATGTCTTATAGCAATAAAAAAGAAGCAAAAATGGATGTAGAGTATCCCACCCTTGCCAACTTGAGTCAGAGACTTTAACCATCTGGAACATATGACATCCTTCTCTCTTTGCTTGGCAGATATTGCTACTCACTAAGAACTGAGCCTTGACCTGGCCCGAAATCCAGTTCAGCAAGTGCTCAAAGACATTCGTCTACAAAGGGGACAGATAAGACAGCTCTTTGTGGGGTGGGAAGAAAATACAGACTGCTTATTGGTAGTTTTAATTTCTATTTTTGTAAAAGTTTTCTAGTATATGTAATAAATTATGATAGTAATTGATAATCAAATAAATATATAAAAATGGAGATGAAAGCAAATAAATCGTATGTTTTACCAATAAAAAAATCAAAGAAGTTTAGAGTCCACTATTTTACAAAAAACTGGAATTGTTATAGGAGATAAAATCTGATTGCTATCACTATTCTAGAATTTCTCTAATATACTGCATCTTCTACTCAAAATAAATGAACAAAAAATACTTGATTTACTACTATACTTCCCAGTCAAAAAGAAGAGCTTCCTTACCCCTATATTCATGACCAATATAATAATGACTATGTTAAAATTCTGTTTTTCTCTCAACCTTGAACCATACTTCTCATTAAGTGACTATTACTATGAATACGCATTTTGGAATACTTCATCCTTTAAATTATTATATCAGTAACATTACTAGGAAAAAGATTTGATTTACAGGATTTTATTTACCAGGGTCTCATCTATTTATATATGAATTTTGATGGCTTTTAGTGTAATTCACCAAATACTTCCAGTTCTCTGCCTCTGGGCACAAGGTAGGACTATACTTCGTAGTAAGCGTGGTGGGGCCATATGACTAAGCCAACCAGTGGATTTTGAGCAATGTCACTTCTTTTCTGGAGCATTTGATTTAGTGTGAGATCTTCCAGGGTTCTCCTTTTTCTTCCTCTAGCCTGACAGGTTCCCAGTCAGCCTGAAAATCTGAATGACCACTATGAGCAAAGTCGCTTTGCCAACCTGCTAATACACAAAGCATGACTAAGAAATAAATCTTTGTTGTTTTAAGCCACTGAGATCTGGGGGTTGGTTGTTACCAGAGCATGATTTGGTCTGCCCCAAGTGACAGTTTGAGGAATAACAGAAATTCCACTCAAACCCAACAAGTCATAACTCAAAGTTTTGGGTAATAGGTTTTTGTGTATCACAAGAAATCCAACCTTAATATAAAAACTATAAGAAGTTAGCTATTAATAACTTAAAACCTCTATGTTCAAGTCACACCTCTGTCACCAACCAGTCGTATGACTGTGCAAGTAGCTAACCTCTGTTTCCTCACCTACAAAATGAAAATAGTAGTGGCCTTGCCTCTCTGAGGCTTGTCAGTTCTAAAGAAACATGACATCTAAAAACAACTCAACAGCTGAGTTCCATTATTGGAAGGATAATCTGTTTATGGATATTTACAAATCAACACTGATTTACTGCCTTCTCATAACATTTTTAGATAAATTATTTTTGACACTACTCTATGGTTTCTACTTTTTATTTCCCCTTTCTAATTTTTCTCATCTCCATTTACAGAACCAGAGACTCAAGTTCTTGCCACAAAATAGGAAAAGCCAAACCAAAGCAAAGCTGTAAGCTTCTCCCACTCAACCACTGACATTTCCCTCTTCTTCTGGATGCCTTCCTTTTCTTGGATTCAATTTCAGGTGCCTGCAGGCACCTGAAATTTGTTGTTTCTTCCACCACTATCCATTATCCTTACATCTTAGGATATGGCTTTCTGTATTAACCAACTTGCCAGTCAACCGTATGTGAGCACAAATTAAGGACCTATACTGCCCCTCATGGTGGCTTTCTGTCCCCACCTACATCACTAACCAGAAAAGAAACTGGTTAGTAGAGGTTTTTGAACAGATAAAAAGGGAGAACAGTATTTTGGGAAAAGCAAACTTGAATCACATTCTGCAAACCACTGTCTTCACGGCCCATAAACTGAGGACCAAAGAAAGACCCCGTCCAGGAACCAGGGCTGAGATAAAATTCTGCAGCAGTTATTGGGGAAAACGAAAATAACCCCAATAACTCTCAGCAAAGAAAAAAAAAAAAAGTCTTTTTTTTTTTTTTCTATAAGGGCTGGAAAACATAGGTTTGATGTCTGCCTACCAAAGGTAACTTTGGAAATTTATGTTGGTAGCCTTGAGCTTCAACCTGTCGAAGGCAATGAAGGGAATGCTACAGGGGGTAGGTGCGCATGTGTGTTTGACTTTTAAACGATCGCTGCGTTGGAGCACAGCTCCAAGGAAGAAACAAGGAGTCGTTTGTGAGGATGACACACTGCCGCAAGAATTGCAAGGCGGGCGTCTACACTTACCGTGAGAAAATACAGCAAGGCCTCAGGCTACAGGACCCACAATATTCAACTGAGCCAGGGATGACGTCAAGGGCTCCGACTGCTGCCTCCCTCTGTTTGCAGCCCGGCCACAGCCCCGTCGTCCCCACAGATGGCTACTGTACGAGCGTGAGGCAATCCTGGATACGCTTCGCGCCAGAGGAGATGGCCCCGCAGAAGAAGGCAGATGAGAAGCAGGAGGGTTCCCCGGGCGTGAGTAGCAAGAAGAGCACAGCACCAGGTGCCGGGCTTCTGGAGAAGGAGGCAGTCATCGTGAGCCAGTCTCCTCCACCCCTTCTCGCCCAAGGCCGTCTCAAGGAACGGCCCAGAGGATGCCCGACCCAGGACCACTGCAGGCCCCGGAAGCAAGAACAAGGACAAGGCGCTGCCTGGCCCCTGGATCCCGCGGCCGACCCTGGAGGCTGAGGTCCGCAAACTGCGGGGAAGCCGTCGTGCAGAGACCAGCGGCCTGTCGGAGAAGCCACTGCGCATGTCAGACCTGACGCGCAAGCGCCTCACGCCGCCCCAGGGATCCGGGGGCGACTGTGCACAGCACGCACCGCGAGCGCTGCGTGTGCGCGTTGAGCCACCGCAGCCGGAGCCACGGCGCGCCCCGCGCGGCGTTGCAGCCGTCCGGAGCCAGAGGCACCCTCGAGGGGTAGAGAAGCTGACTTGCAAGGACATGCTGGACCCCAAGCAGCGGGAGAAGCTGGCGCACTGCGACATCATCGTGCCTCAGTGGGGCAACAAGGGCTTCCGGGCTCCAGAATGAGGTTGTGGGTCGACAGGTCGAGGCCGGTGGTGCAGGCCTGTGCGCGCAGGAGATCACACTGGCTGTGTGGCACCTTCATGCTCTGGGCTGGAGCCCGGGGACATGGCGGTCAAGGAGACAGGGCCAGGCGGGCCGCATGCAGGCGGCCGGCCAGCAGCAATAACTCAAGCTTGAAGGCCTAGGCTAAGAATATTTAATGTGGTCTCACTCTAAGAGTAAAATCTGAATTGAACACAGACGCAAAGATCACTGTGGACTAGTGAAGAGTTCCTGGTTTTGTGATGGGTTGTCTTGTCATTTTTTGGTTTTTTTTTTTTTTTTTTTTTTTTAAAGATTTTTATTTATTTATTTGACAGAGAGAGACACAGCGAGAGAGGGAACACAAGCAGGGGGAGTGGGAGAGGGAGAAGCAGGCTCCCTGCAGAGCAGGGAGCCCGATGCGGGACTCGATCCCAGGACCCTGGGATCATGACCTGAGCTGAAGGCAGTCGCTTAACCAACTGAGCCACCCAGGCGCCCTTTGTTTTTAACTACGTGGAAAACGTGACATTCTCAGGGAAGAGAGCCTGGATAGGAGGGAGATTCACGGAAGAGGAGTCACAACAAGACTGGAAACTCCCCTAAGTGTTCAAGCATCTCAAAACACACGGAGGCAGAGGAGGGATCAAGGCAGGCTTTCCTGTGAGTCATGTGTTTCTCTGTGATCACAACAGCACTTCCTGTCGGAGTCAAGAGTGCATTCAGGGTGGAGTTCATGAGAAAACCTGTCTTCATCATGAAATACCAGTTTTCAACTCTTTAATACAGTCAGGCAACATTCTGGAAGATTACCATGTGCAGAGTTGACCAAAAGATTTTTGAAGAAGTTTTAAATTTTGATATTCAAACAATTTGTTTTGTCAAAATTAATACAATGCCTGTCTACTGCCCTGAAAGAGCTCTTGGATGATCCTCTGGTAAGTGTGGCATCTGAGAACAGTGGTGTGGGGATTGGGCAGAGAACCATAACGAAAGGCACTGGATCTAACTTGCTCTTGGCAACCCCCATGGAATGACAAAGTCTATCAGAAGCCAGACCCCCCTGAACCTGTCCACTCTGTCTGCTGATCCTCTGGTTTGCTTTCCTAGCAGAGAAGGACATATATGTAGTTCAGCTGTCAACTACCCAAGGCCAGCCTTACATGCATTGACCTGCTTAGATGACAAAATGGATGTCAGAGAGCTCCCTATCCAAAAATATAGGACCCTCGCTTGTTACAGAATCTGAGGTTCTATAATTAGAGAATTTTTCTGTGTAGTCAGTGTGAGAGAGTAGAAAGAGCTTAGACTTGTATGTCAGGCAGACCTGAGTTCAAATCTCAGCTCTTCTGCATACTATGGACCTTAAGCAAGTCACTTGTGAAATCCTAATTCCACATTCTTTAAATGGGAATAATGTCTGTGAAACCGGTGAGCTAATAGGAACTCAGTACCTATTATTTCCTTACTTTCTTTTCAAAACCTAGTGGTGTAAGTACTATAAAGTTGAGTAACATCCTAAGTTCTTATGATCTGGAAATTGAATGCCTCTCTAGGGAAATTAATTACCACCTTCAGCTGTTATCCAGAATATTGGTGCTATAACCACTTAAGGATGCAATGCCTTTGGCAAAGATTTCTCTCTTGTGATTTTTCCCCTTACTCTCATAATCTTCTCGTTTTGCTAGACCATCCTGGACAGCAAGAACTATATCTTATTCATTTTTGTATTCCTGATGCATGGCATGGAAGGTGCTCTATAGATGTCTGATGGATGAATGAATAAATGAACAAACAAATTTTCTAGGGAGAAGAGAAGAAGAAGGCAATGTTGGCTAGAAGCGGAACATACCCAGGACTAAGAAGGGAAGGTGAGAGAGCCTCAGAACAAAACAAACCATCTTTTTTTTAAGATTTTATTTATTTATTTGAGAGAGAGAGAGAGATCACGAGCAGGGGGGAAGGGCAGAGGGAGAAGTAGACTCCCCACTGAGCAGGGAACAAGCCAATGCTGCGGAGCTCAATCCCAGGACCCAGGGATCATGACCTGAGTCTAAGGCAGACGCTTAACCAGCTGAGCCACCCAGGCGCCTGAAACAAACCACCTTTTTGCCTACTTTTTAACTTTACCTAGGATCAGAACTGCTGCAGCTTTGGAGAGTAAGTAAATTACTCCTCCAGCCCCCCTCCCTGACAAGCACATGTAAGTTACAGCTAGCCACCACCCAGCTGCTGGTAATAATAATCCTGTGGGAAAGGAGTGGAAAACCACCTTTTCTTAAAATGGCTTTGGCAATTTTTGTAGCTATTTTTCTGCTGCTTTTAGGAAGGTAGTTACACCTATTTTTCAATATCTTAACTACACTAAGTATGTATCAGGTCTGACTTACCTAAATACACATACGGCCTCCCTGGGGACTGGCATGAGTACCTGAAGGGGACATGAAGAGTATGTCTCAGGCTTCATGAACTTACCCACTGCTCCTAAATACCCGCGCTGGCCCAGGCACTGACAGGCGGCATTGTGCCTGACACCGAGTGCCAGCCCCCCGTTTTATTTGTAACAGTAACTCCCACACTCAGACATTACATCCCAAAACAGGGTCACTGCACCGCAATAGGTGAGCCTAGAGGACTTAGCATTCTCCATGCTGTGTGCTAAACACCAGCTTTCTCTCTCTGAACCCCTAGATTCTCTGTTGAGAATGGATCACCAATGCAGAACACCACTTTCCTCAAAATAATTTTATTTCAGTCACCTACTTGCCCTACCCTGACACTGGTACATCCCCCGTCTCCTCTTACTTTTAAATTTTAGGGAGCAGTTTGGGGGGGAAGTCTCTGAACTCTTTATGCAAATAAGCCAACCACTCCCTAGAGGACTATACACCAAGAGGAAAGACAGGTTTTGCTAAGCCCTAAGAGATATCTAAAGGTACCTAATTACACGCTATGGTGTAACTATAATGTTACAGAGGCAATGATAAGAGGACCTCTCCAAGACCAAAGGACAGAAAAGTTCTGCTCATAAGGGCCTTTTCTTCCTGAATGTATAGAGAATAGTTGGTACACACATTAGACAAGCCCCAGCTAATATATATGTAATACTGCAAATATACATGAAATATAACGCAAGCCACAAATGAAACCCTGCATGTAATTTCAAATTTTCTGGTAGTCATGTTTGAATAAGTAAAAAGAAAATGGTAGAATTGATTTTAATAATTTATTTAATACAGATTTCCAATGTATTAATATTTCAACATATAATATAAAAATTATCAAGATCTTTTACATTGTTTTTTATACTAAGTCTTCAGAATCTAATGTATGTTTTATACTTACAGCACATCTCAATTCAGACGAGCCACATTAAATGTTCAATAGCCTCACATGGTTACTAGCTACCGTATTAGAGCAGCTCTAGATTTTTTTTAAAATCTGTACTCCCATTACATAGACCACATCCAACTCTCTGGTCAAAGTGATCTGATGAGCTCATGCACTGACATACGCCATCTGATCGAAACACATACCTATAATAAAGTAGGAAATATATGTAACCATATAGATGCTTCCCTAGCATGATACTATTTCTAGCTCAACCCCAAAAGCCAAGATTTACCTTAATAGAAAAAGACTAAAAACATTTCCATTAAAAACAGGAAAAGGACAAGGGTGTCCTTTATCACAATAATTATTTAACACAGTACTGGAGGTACTAAACAGTCCAATTAGACAAAAGGAAAATGTAATAAAACTTTGAAAGGCAAATATAAAATTATCATTATTTGAAGATTATAAGATTCTTGACCCATAAAATCTGCGAGAATCAACTGTAAAGCTATTTTTAAAAAGGCAATAGGTTGACTAGATACAAAAATTAATATGCAGAAATCAATAGTCTTTATACAAACAACCCTTTAGAAGCTATAATGGAATAAAGGGTTCCATTAAAATAACAAACAAAAATAAAATACTTAGGAATTAATGATGATGTGTGCAAGACCTATATGAAGAAATCTTAAAACAATCCAAGAGATTAGAAGAAAGATTGAAAACAGAAAGGCAGACCACGTTCACAGGTAGGAAGATTCAGTATCTCACACACACACACACACACACACACACACACACACACACACCTATAATTCTCTCTTAGGTTAAAGAGATGCAAGAGAAATGATATAATTTTGCAAGTGTTTGGGGACACTGAGGGTTTGGAGTGCATACCTACCTGAACATGAATGACAAAAGCAGGATGAATTTTCTGCTCCCTTCAATCCCATTCCTGGAGGACCTAATTCTGATTTAAAGAAGGCAGGGGGGGCAGGGGGGTGCATTAGCTCTCCCATTCCTCTGATTATCTGTGTGTGATAAAAAAAAAAGGATATGCACCATTTCCCAAGTTCTATCTCTGCTCCAGCAGTTAATCCATGTAGTGAATGTAGGGAAAGAGATCAAGTTGTAGAAACTAAAGAGGTATTCCACTTAGAAACTGTTAACTTTATAAAATTCACTTACCTCTTGGAGCCTCAGTTACCTTATCTGTAAAACAAAGATGAAAAAGTGCCTGCTACTTACTTCACAGGGTTGTTGTGAGGATGGAAACTGAAGTTTGAAAGTGCTTTGGAACAGTAAAACCCCTCATTACTATTTAATTAGCCAACAAGATGCAATTCATGTTCTAATTCGTGTTTGCCTGAGATAAATAAAACAGGTATAAGCTTATTCCTCAAGTCTGTTTGGTTTTTTGGGGTTTGTTTGTTTTTTTTTAAGATTTATTTATTTATTTATTCATGAGAGAGAGAGAGAGAGGCAGAGGGAGAAGCAGGCTTCCAAGGAGCAGGGAGCCCGATGCAGGACTCGATCCCAGGACCCTGAGATCATGACCTGAGCCGAAGGCAGACGCTTAACCATCTGAGCCACCCAGGCGCCCCAAGTCTGTTTGTTTTGTTTGTTTGTTTTAGAGAGGAAAAATG